ATTAAATTATATATATAAAAATAATTCAAATATATGCAGTTTCAAAGTAAAAATCCATTTGATTAAAACGTACGAATTTTTGATTAGTCATTTTAATACTATTATCGTAAAAAATGTTTAAATATTTCAAGAGGGTGTTTACTTTTTAATAAATAATTTATTTATTTTTTGTTTTTTTTTTTTTTTTCATAGTACGTTCATTCATCAATGTGTCCATCACGTTTATCAAGTACTACGTTCGGAGGATAATTTTGAATGTAGGTAGTGTCGACTGTGTCTAAGCGAGTCTTGTTATCGAACGAAAGGTAGAACCCAACGTTGGAGAGTGAGAGAGACAGGTAACTTAACAGAGAAGAGAAGAGAGGTTGGGGAGAGGGGTGAGGCTATGGTGTAACAACCCTAGTTGTCACCGTCAACAATGTTGTCGTTCGTGTGATCCATGTCAAGAAGGGTGATAATAAATATATGCGAGGGTTATTGATGCAAAACATGTTTAAACACAATTGAATAATTTTTCTGAAGAAAATTTTTCTATATTCCATATTAATTATCATATATATCATATGAATAATTAAATTTATATTTTAATATATTAATAAATTTTTATATTAAAAATATAATATAAATTAATTACATTAATAAAACTTAACTATTATCATTGAAAACAAATTATAAAATACAATACATATTATATTATATTTGTTATAAAATTTTGTTGGTTCAATTATTTAATTCAATAAAGATATAAATTCAAAAATAATAATATTTTTATGTTAACGTTTAGAATATATTTCAAATCAATCCACGTATGATATACACAGTATATAAAATACATATGTTATTATTATATAACATACACATATTATAATACACATACATAAATCTAATATAAATTTGATTTAATGGTAATCCGAGATAGGAATTATATTTCAATGTCGTTAATAATTATGACACGAATTTATTAGAATTGAATATAATATATACGCGTGTGTGTCTACAGAGATCAAAGGTTTAGGGTTAAAGACCTTAGTCTGCCATAACGTTTCTACCTTCCCCTCCCCCCGTTCCCGCTTCCCTTTTTTTTTTTTTTGTTTCAACCCTCCTTATATCATTCCAGACACGCACCATGAGAATATACCCTAACAAAATTACCGTGCAACGCGAATCATGTTCGGCTTTTGTTAACGATCGATATTTTGATCACGTGGTTACGGGGGATGATACTTAACATCTATTTGAATCTTATTATTCATTTTTTGCAATATCTTTTTTATCTTTCATTATACGAATGATTGATAATAATCGATATGATTTATATTGAAACGAGATTTGAACAAATTAAATCATATTACCGAAAATTTATTATCAATTAATTTGTTATTATATATTATATTATATATATAATATGTGTAATTTTTCTTACGTGTAAAAATAATAATATAGTAATAGAAAAAAAATAGAAAAAGAGAAAGAGAGTGAGAAATGTAAGTAAAACTATTCCTTTATCTTTCATTAATCGAATGATTGATAATAGTCGATAAGATTTATATTGAAACGAGATTTGAACAAATTCGAATTAAGTCATATTGCCGAAAATTTATTATCAATTAATTTGTTATTATATAATATATTAT